ATTACTTCATTACATATAAGCAGAATTAAGACCACTCACTCAAAACCTACATTGAACTTACGGGTGACTTTTAAATGAGACATTCAGGAAGGGGATAGAAATGGGTCAAAATTTCTGTTCCTTACAGATTTCAAATAAAGTTTTGCTTTTTAACCAGAATCTTAAAAAAAATGTTCTTAGAAATAAATAAATACAAGCGAAGATCACTGCATTAATTAAATCAATTCATTATTTGTAATTCTTTTAATGTTGATGAAAAGCTAACTTTATCTTGATATAAGTCTGTAGAGATTCTCAGTCATCCAGGTCATGGTTGTCCTAAAGGTGCTTTTTCATGAGGCAACGGGACTTTCTTGTTTTTTCTTTTGAAGAGGTTTCGCTTCTCATCCAAGAAGCTTCTTCAGTTCTGACAGGATAGTGGGGAATGGGAGGATTTATATTTCTTGCAGACAGCTGGTCATTTACATCCTTTTAGAGAGTCCTTGAAGCACTTGGAGGTTTATTATCTGTGTCCAGGATCACCCGAGTAGTGCTCCTTTATCTTGATATACAGTAGTTCTGAATTTCTTCTACAACTTCTAAATATAATAGTAATAGCTAAAGTAGAGCCATAAAAACTTTTGACTGCCAGTGACTGCATTTAATTAGAGGTTGGGAAAGAAGGGATGGGGCAGCAGTTAATGGGATATGCAAAGTCACACATAAACATGCATTATATTTGTATTGCTTTGTAGAGTTTGATTAAAATTTCTTCTTTTTTTGTTTAGGGTTTTTCTATTTTGCATTTTTAATAAATATGTCTTTCACAGGATCTCAACACTGTAGTGTTTTACACCTGAGAATTATTCAAGCTTTATTGTTCTTTGTTAATACTATGGCAATGCACAGGATAACCACAGTCTAAACTTAAAGATCAGGTAGCATAGTTTTGATTTATAGATTCATGACATTGAAGCAACTGTCATTTTGGTCTTTATTGTCTCATAACAATGTTGGTCTACAGACCCTCATAATTACATTATCCAACTGAACTGATATATAATATGTAATTAAAGTACTATTTTTTCCCTAATAATGTGATGTCTTCTGAACCCACTTTGGCATATGAGATGTTTGGAAGACAAATTTTGCCGTAAGCTTGCTGACATCCCTTCTAATATAGACTATATACTAGAGTTAGACACTAATGGTTACAGTGAGATTGCTTTTCCATTTGTGATGACTGGTTTTGTTTCTGAATTTGTAATAGGTTACAAATAAGTTACCAGAAGGAAACTATTAACTCTCTATGCCTAAATTTATTCCTATTAAGGCATATAACATTTGATATAAACTGGTATGGGGATGCTTTTAGATTTTGCTTTTGGAAAGTAAGTTAGTTAATATTACCAAGAATGTTTTTTCAGCTATGCCTTTGGCAACAGAAGGTCTATCTATAATAATTAATGGCTAAATTGTTCTGAAAGGAAATTGTCAGCCTAATCTTCACTGCATTTTCTGGGGGAGATGTCTAACAAACTGGCATAGTTTATTCAAACACTACTTTTGAAATTAGTAATTTCTTAGCTAACCAGCTTTTAGCCACATACCCATATTAGACATGCTAGACCCAGACATTATGTACCCAGAGATGACCTCATTAAAAATACTGGAGGAACCCTAATAATTGCACTTTTACTCCTATCCTGAGTGCATTTATCAACCAAATGGTGTTAGGATTTTTACTTTTGCTTATACAGCCTGGTAACAGCCTTATTTTTGAGAAACAGTCATAATAAGTTCCCTAATTTAGCAGCTCCCATTATAGTATGTGGAAAGGGAACTTCACGAGGACAGTGGTGTCACCCAAGCAGGAAAAGCCCAAAGGGAACATCAGGCCAGCCATAAAACAAACTTGCATAGGAAAAGAAATCAAATAAAAGGTATTAAAGAAGCCCCTTAGACAAAAGCCCAAATAATTAAGAAAACTAGGGAAACAAGAAAAGAAAACCCTTACAAACACAAGACATGCCAAATCAGCAAAACAAACAGACAAAAGACACAAAATATATTGCAAAGGAGACAGACAGGAGATTGCCACAAAACAAATATAAGAAACCATTAAGCTAAAAAAGATTAGGACGAAACCGATAATCCAATCAAACCACCCCGCAAAGTTTGCCTTCTGCACCCCGCGGACTTTACCCTCCGGCGGAAATGAAGACAACCCCTGACAGGATTTAAAACATTAAGAAATACAAACACAAGCACACACACACAAAATGAGAAAAAGGTATAAAAATCAGGGACTTACCATACAAAGGTAGCTAGCCCAGGAACGCAGACTTCTTGCTATCTCTCGCCTTCCTGAAAAATAAAAAGATCCAGCTTTCAAGCAGTTGTCCGTATCCTTGCACCGGAGCTCTCCCAGCGGGAAAATCAAATCCTCAGAAGAAAGGCATTTTGACAGCCTAGCAACAAGTATATTCCCTTTATCTGGCTTTTGGTGATCTGCATAGTTAAGCCATAAAAATCCAAAATGGACTTCAGTATTCCACTCATTAAGAAAGTAAACAAGCAATCAAGCAATAGAAGAAACTATGCAAATATTCTTAAGCAAGTGTTTGGAGTAACATTGTGCTTCTATATCTAATTACAGGTTTGTATTGCCCGGTTTCAACAAGGTTGTAAAATCCCTTTATAACTCTGTTCGAAACCAGGCCACCCAAGCGATAGGCAAGCTTGTGTGCATGAGTAAAGCTTCATGTGTGAGCACAAGTTCTCTCTGCTTATGTGAGTGGAGCTTTATGCGCATGCACTTGCTTGCTGCTTTCACAAGTGGAGCTTTGTGCGCACACGCTTGTTCACTGCTTGCAAGAGTACAACTTTGTGCACACCAGCTTGCCCGTTGTTCATGTAGTTTGGTTTTGAACAGGCCACGGTAGTGGGCAACAGCCTGAAGGCTGGGGACCCTTGATCTAAATAGTAAATTGAATGAAGAGATGTAGAATTCTAAAGTCCTGGGATTCATGTTCCCTTGCTTGTTTTGGAGAGCGATGGTATTTCCCCCCCACTCTGGATGGGAGAATAATGTAAGGCAATAAAAGCATAACTTGCTGCCCTGAAATTTCCCACTTTTAAGTGTAGGGTGTAGAAACTCAATGAAGCTTAGAAGAGCAGGCAGTGCAAATTGTGTTAATACAGGTTTAAAGGAAAGAAGTGATAGACTTCAAGCATCCCAACAGGGTGCTATCTGCAATAACATTTGGATGCTCCAAAAACTATCCTGTCCCACAAGTCAAAATCTAGACAAATAATGAAAAATTATTTCCCTTCCAGTTACTTCATGATGCACTGTAAACAAAGATTAACCCTGTGTGTTCTGTATTATGATATATTTTGAATTCATTTCAAAGTTCTAGATTCTGTGTGTTCTTTTACCAGTCAGCACTGCCTCTCCAATACTGACTGGCATACATGTCCACAATCAAGGGTAGTGCATTAAGTGGTAAGTTTTTTTGCAAAATGAAAAGAAGTAGAAATTCTGAACATTGAAGATACTTGGAAAAATGGAGCGACATATTCTAACCTTGGACATATTGTGAGCCTTTTTGCCATTTGAGAAAGTTCACGGCAAGACAAAAATGCTTTGCTATCACACTCAATTTCTTTAGTATACTATGACAATTAACATTTGATTATAGCCAGCAGCACACAAAAAATTTATCAGTATGCATAATACACATTCACATCAACAAAACACTCTATGGATCTGTCTGTAGTAAATGTGCAGACTCTGAGCATTACTCTTCATTTAATATAAGTACATTAATGAGTTCATTTTTTCAACCAAATCTTATCCAGTTAACTTCTGATTTAGAGATAATATATGTCCACGCTATGTAAATCTTATATAAAGCTTTAATAAGTGTCCTTTTGAAATTATGAGAATTCTTAGGTATAAAACAGATATTTGTTTTAGAATATTCAAATATTTATATTCCTTATCAGTCAATCTTAAATTAAATATTGAAAAATAGCATTTAAAAAGCTAGCTCTTAATACTATCACGCAAGGTAGATAAGGAATGATCTTCAGTAAATTGAAAAAGGCTTTCAAGGCTTGCACTACAGTGTTGTGACAGTGCAGAATTAAAAAATAATTCTTCACATAAGTCATTATCCTCTTACAACAAATACTAACAAATAGAGACAACAGCTGCACTTCTCTATTGTTGTATTACTCACAAAGAGTTAAGCAATAAAGCAATGGCAGAAACATCTATGTATTCTTAAAAATGCAGAAGTTAGTTATCCTAAATTGCCATATTTAATCTGTAAGATATATTGTCTTTTTCATTTTATAGAAATATGGTTTGTAAATTAACATGTATTCATAAAGAACTGGAATAGGTTTTTTTTCATATGTTATTAATTTTTCCAAGGCTTTATAATTATAATTTTTTTCTTATAGAGGTTGCAGATAAGGTTGTCAGATTGTCTTTAATTCTCTTTTTAAAACAATACCATTACTCTGCAGTTTCAGATCTGATTTCATAATTTCCTACTTAACTGCTTCTATTTTCCTTTTAACACATTCCTACTGATTACCTACTGGCTCTTTATAAGGCCAGATCCTGAAGATGAAGCTCAAATACTTTGGCCACCTAATGAGAAGGAAGGATTCAGAAGAGCCTAATGCTGGGAAAGACTAAGGATAAAAGAAGAATGGGACGACAGAGAATGAGGTGGCTGGATGGAGTCACTAAAGCAGTAGGCGTGAGCTTAAATGGACTTCAGAGGATGGTAGAGGACAGGAATGCCTGGAGGAATGTTGTCCATGGGGTCACGATGGGTCAGACATGACTTTGCAACTAACAAAAACAACCGATTACCAAAACATGAGATAAAGTTGTCATGAGCCCACACAAGAAAGCATATGCATATTCACCAAATATTCTTTAGCAATTCTTCATTCCTTTTGTTAGAATAAACCAATTCAAGTAAAAGGATTGGCTTCTCAAGGCAAAGATACTGTCAAAATCACCATCTTGGGTTTTTGACCTTGGATAATCCTGTAAACAAGTACTTTTACTCTCTTTATTCTTTCCTGATATAATACTGTCCCTGTGTTCATGTACACAAATAGAATGCTTTTGTTTTCTGTATTATGCGTAAGATGGAATGATCTTTCTCACTTAAGTTTCACAATTGCTTGCAAATGTAGATGCCCTTGTTGCTTGTTCTGTAGGCTCTTCAGAGTTCATGCCACTGTATTCCATTTCTTCCTTTCCCTGCTTTACCACAGTTTGGGGAAATAGTTAGATGGGTGGGTGGTTCTGAAAATCATCTTTTTCAGACATGGAGCATACACAGTTTTCACTCAGCTATCCTCTGCCTCCATTTTGAATAAGTGACAAGTAAAATTTTGCAACCCAATCCACATTAAATCTAAGATTTCTCTCGTGATTTTATGGGAGCTCATTCTGTCAGTAGAGATATTTAAAATCTCCTGAACAAAAAAATATTTTCTCCTCCTGAGGCAATGAAGTAGTTGGATATTAAGTAGAATTTTACAGTAGAATTAGATCTGTATGACTTTGGCAACTCAATTTATTTTTAGCCTTTTCATTTCATTCTCATTAGTCTGTTTTGTGGATGCCCACCTGGCTTGTTTCTAATATCTGAAAACATAAAACTTCCAAAAATTGACTATACCCTTCATGTTTAAGAAGGTCTTAAGAATTTTGGCCTTAAGAGCACAACCTGTCAGAGAAAAGAGTTGAAAATTAAGAGAAATTGTGGGTTGGGATGAGTGACATTTTAAATCAACAAATTGCTAACATAATTTTTTCCACAATAATTATAGTAATATGTTATAGTTTTCCAGGGCAGCAGAACATTTTAGCCATCACTTTGTTCCTTATGCAATTAAGTTCAGTGTGTTTTTTTTATTTTGTTTTTACATTACATACATTTTAAATTTTTGGTCTCATTTTTAAAAAGGTAAACTTATATACAAGTGAATCACACATTCTATATTTTATTAGGAGACTTTTTTTTGTTGGCTGTAAACTGTTTCTTGAGTTTCTGTTTATAAACACACATGCACTTCCATGCTGTTTGCAGTCTGGCGGTGGTGAGTTATTGGATTATATAAGGGAATCTATATATTTACTTTACTACAGGATTCATAGGTATACATAGTTACACATTTTCTACTTCTTAATAAAGTTCATGTTTTGTTTCTTTTGTGTGAAATGAATAGGTACGTAAGTCCAAGTGTGGGACAAGAGTTGCCCCAATAGTTCTAAAGAGCTTAGAGGAAAAAATTGTTATCCTGCTGAGATCAATAACAGCAAGAGAAGATTGATCAGATCCTTGGAATTACATTTTACTTCAAAATGTTTCCTATAAGTCAGAAACCAAATCAGTTAAAAGTTAGTTTTGTTTTCTAATAACTACTTTTGGTTTGCTATAGCTGTCCTGTTAGTTTGGAGGTATCTTCTAAGCTGAAAAGTTGTTGCCTCCTTTACAATATAAGCTTTAATTGTGTTGTTATGAATAAAATGAGTGCTTAATTCATTCTAGCAGAAAGATAGTTAAAATAATATGGTGATATATTTTTAACATTTTTGCAGATTGCTATTAAGCTGGAAGCAGAAAATGAACCACACGAGTTGTAATTCCAGTAAACAACCTATTGGAGCTACAGTTAATCAAGTGTGCATGTTATGAATGACACAATTAATTAGTAGTGGGATGTATTTCCTTGCTGTTTTATTTCTGATATATTTTCTGCAATGATATTTAAATGGGCATCTAATAATATTATTACTTTAAAAACAACACCTTATTTAACTTTGAAGAAGCGACAAGAAAGACAGGATGATTTATTTCTACTTTGAGAACTAAGATTTAAACTTGACTAATAAATTGTTCCTGTTCATTCCTAGTTTTATTTTAAACTAATAATGTCAGGTGCTAATTTTACTTTGTTATTTAATTTTTGTTTCATTGGTTTTAATACATTTGAAAGGTTGCCATTTTTTTTTACAAAGGAAAATAGTTTGCTGTTTCAACTCTCAGTCCTGTATCCATTTAATTTGGGGGCTTGCGTGCTTGCCTCCACGGAAACATACATTGAATTAAGTTACACATAACATTGCCCCCCACATTCCTCAATATTTAATACTAAAAATTTGCAGCTTGCCTTGTGAATTAATTGTGGGTGGAATCTATTTTAATTTTAGATTAACTAATTCAGTTCTTGGACCCCAGAACTTGAAAAAAGTAAGCAAAGTACCAAAAATATATTTTTCAGATATTGTTAAAATAATTCGCAACTGAAAGGTCAACTTTGTGTTTTGACAATTTTTTTAAAAAAAATAGACTTTAAATGAATAAGCAACAAAGTATCAATTGCTTTCTTTATTAAAAGCTTGGAAGTACCTTATCTTTCTGTGTCATATTTCCTGATGTTCTTCTTTTGTACCAATCTGTAGAAACATGGAACTTTGTCCTTTTCGTCAGAATTGGAAAACTATCTTGTCCATGACTTTGTAGATTCATCAGAATTGGAAAACTATCTTGTCCATGACCTTGTAGATTCATAAGCAAACTTTTTATAGCATTTGACTGATTTTTAAAACATGGTTTTATTTGCTTTTAAATACAACAAAGGGACATTAAAAAAAAAATTTAGGAAGAAAAGTCATTACAAACTGATACCTTAGCATTTCTATGACAGTTTCTATATATTCAAGTCTCCATATGTTGTTCAATTAAACACCACCAGAGGAATATAATATTCTTCATTTAACACAGAGGAAAGTCATTTGCCAAGGTCTGTTTTTCCACACCAGGGGTGTAATTATAAAAATAAGTAATTATTGCATGTCATGTTTATACTGCAGAATAATTTTCTTAAACAAATTGATTTTGTTTAAGCTCAACATACTTAGTTACAGTTCAAGGTTCAAAAAAAGTGTTTAATTTGTAATAGTAAATCCAAAGTTGGCATACTGCATTTTTTCTATTGGTGTGTAAACTATTTTGATAAATAATTAATTTTTCACTTGACAGGAATAAGTAAATAATATATTTTGTGGTAAATAAACATTCACTATTTCTTAGGTGTGAAAAGACTAAATTGATCTAATTGAATATCACAGTCAGCATTAAAAGTGAACAATGACAAAACAGTTCCTATTAAAAGATATAATACAACTACTCAGAGCAACTGTTTTTAGAATTTGGAATTTTAATAGTCTGTAATGAGAATTCTCAGAAAATTGTTGCCATAATGGACATACACAATATTAAACTACCCATTTACTAGGATGCAAATTGTTGAGATTGCTCCCTGCTAGCCTCACTAATCTCCCAGATATTATCTGCTTAAGATAAACAGGTTTCCAAAATTAAAAAGAGAAACACATTTGTTGGCATAACCTGACATATTATTATTAATTCATTACTTGATTTCCTAAGTATCCCAAACAAACTTTACCAAAAAAAAGTTATTGTTTGGAAAGTCTTCTTTGTAATGATACTACATTTAGCAATTTGAAAAACTTTCTAATTTTCTAATATTCTCTTATTTTGTATGTAAAATTATTTCCAGGTAAAATCTAATTAATGGGTGATTACTGATAAATGGACCCTGTATTGCTTTAAAAATGGAGAAAGGGATAGATATTCTCTTCTGTCACCATCTCCCATTTCACCAAACATGAGAAATTAAAGAAAATATTAGCATCTGAAGAATCTAATAAGCTATTGTTTCCCATTCTGCTATTGCTTGTGCTATTGCTTGCTCTTTCTCAGCTATTTAAGTTAGAGCTATTTCTGAGGTGCAGAAGTTTGTACATTCACTAGTTTAGAATAAAAATACAGGAAACTCAAATTCCTGGCTCCCAGTAGGATAAATTGTTGCAGTGTAGATATAATAACCTCTTTGAACACTCATACTGGTGCAAGTGAATGGTCAGTGGACAAGGTTTTTTCACACACAGCTGATGTAAGTTTCCCATTGCTACATTGCTCCCACTGACTGGTCAGGATGCGCTCCTAAAAATCTAGGATGTTTCCTGGTTTTGTATGCATGTGTAAAAATTGGGACAAAGATTTTGTTTGTTTGTTTCAGGTTATTCAAATAATTTTAGAATGCAGCACACATTTATTTCTTGGCTTCATGAATAACTTGACAATTTTTTCTCAGTTTAATAAAATATGTGGATGGATTAGATTTTATTGAAGCCTGCAGAATTATTCACTGAAATCTGGTCCATATTGTTGAAACTTTGTGTGCTCAGACAAAATGACAGTGAAAAATATGTCAAAGTAGTGTTATACCTATAAGAATTCATTTAAAGGTTTTGAATTAGTTTTGTAATTTATAACATTCTTTCCCAACAATTTTCTGAGATGTAGATTTAAAATGAGCAGAAGCTCAAGACAGTCTTGAATATGAGGTTTAATATAAGCAGGTGGTATTCTTAAAGTGATGTAGATTAATTAGCAGTTAAAACTCCATCTGCTAAGAGCACTAGCCTAACTTTTCTATAATCTTGTGCTCTGTGTGTGCTTTTGATTAACTGTATTACAATATTCTAATCCAGAGCCAGTCCTGGCTAAACCCAGGATGACTGAGTTGCAGCCCTCCCTTAAGAGGAGAAATGAGTATTAGCCATATTCATGACCTTGACATAGAGATAATAAAAGTCTAAT